GGAACAAATGTGCTCCGAGCAAATGACTGCTCCAGATATTTTGTAGTACCTGAATTATGGCTTCAAAGCCTGCAGCATGGCTTTGTGGTTTTTTTTTTTTTTTTTTTTTTTTTTTTTTTTTTTAAATAATGTCCTTAAGAGCTCTAAAATTCAAAGAATTTCCATAGTTTCATGCCTTTAAGGCTGTGGGCAGAAAAGTAGGAGTTGAAATAGCTGGATTTCAGTCCAAGTTTTTTCTATGGAGTTGAGTGATTTCTGTCTCCAGCTCCCTATACCCTCTCTCTGCCCACTCCTTTCTTTCACACATCAGACAGAATTCAGATGTCTCTCAATTTAAAGCTTTTGGGTGCTTGGATGAGAACGCTGGGCTAGAGCTGCCTCTGACCCAGGAGCCAGCACTGTGTGGAGTGCCAGGGCAAGGGGATGCTGTGAGTCTGCACCAGGAGCTGGCGTGGATCACTGGGCTAGGAGGTGAGTGGTGGGGTTGGACCTTGCAGCCAGAGGCTCTTTCTAGGCTTTGAGCTGCAGTGGCTCTGGGACTCCTGGATCCCGTGGGCATGGCAGAGGATGTGTGGCTGAGCAGCTCGTCCCATGCTGGCTGCAGCGCACGGCTCCTCTCTGGGGTTGTGCTGTGGCCCCAGCACAGCCCAGCTCCCCCTGCCTCTCCACGGCCGAGGTGGCTCGGCTTTCCCATCCTTCCTCCTCACCTGATCCCCTGGCGTAGCCCAGCTCTGAGTGGGTGCAGGTGGGCGCTGGTGTTTGGTTTGGGGAGGTGGAAGGTGTGAGGACACCTGGGCACCAGGTACAGCCTCTGGGCACCACGCCCCACCCTGCAACCGGGCTCATCTCCCTATGGCTCTACTGTGCCCTACAGTGCCCAAAGCATGATGCAGGGAACAGCATCTATTTTCTTAGGATTTGTGATGGATGGGAGGTCATACCCAGCTAGATGTCAGCATTTCCATTTCCATGGGATTTCTGAAGCCTGGCTGTTAAAGGACAGGGGGTGGTGGTCAGGCTGCAGATGCCATTTCAGCCTTATAGAGCTGGGGAACCAGAGGACGGAAAACCTGTGTGCCACAGGCAGCTGCATGGGAGCTAGTGGGAGATGCCTTGCTGGGCTTTGGGATGGTGGCTTCTGTTTGCCATGAGAGATGAAGTGATGGGGTTTTTGCTTATTGAGGTTTGATGCCTTTAGTGGGATGCTCCCTGAGGGGCAGTGGAGGGGTGGGTGGAGGTTCCCCTACCAGGGAGCCAGCCTGGTGCTATGACTGCAGCGTTACCACTTCGGGGACAGAGAGGGAGAGGCAGACCACCACTCTGCCACCGGCGCCCCTCTGGATCGGGCCTTAGTGGCCGGCACAGTCTCAGGGCACTATGTTTGTGGGCGACACGGTGTCCGTGGCTCAGCCGCGCTGCCCATGCGGCATTGCTGGTGGTCCTGCCATTAGGAGAAATACGATATTTGCAGCGTGAGGTTGCGAAAAGCCTGCGGCCGCTAAAAGAAAAGGAAATGACTTTTTTTGTGGTTGTGTGTGCGCGTGTGCATGCGCTGGGGGCGGCTGGACGAGACGCGCTGGGGTCCCCCCGCCCCAGCACCGGCAGAAAGCGCCGATCTGGCCGCCCCTGTCCCATCCCCGCCGCCCCTGTCCCATCCCCGCCGCTCCCTGTCCCACCCCCGCTGCCCCCGGCAGCATCGAGCCACCAACATGTTCCAGAGGAAGCGCAGCGTCTCCTTCGGCGGCTACGGCTGGTGGGTGCCTTCCCCTTCCCTCTCTCTCTCGCTACCGGGAGCCCTGTGAGGAGCTTTCCTTGCCTGCTTTCGGAGCAGGAATCAGCGGAGGGACCTTCTTGCCCTGTGCCAGCAGGAAGCCTGGCACAGCTTCAGCCCAGCAAAACCTCGTGAGGTTCGCGGGTGATGGCAGTGAGGGGACCTCCCCGAGGGCTCGGTGGGCTCCGGTGGGCACGTACCTGTGAGAGTGTCCGCCCCTGCACCCTCCTCTCGCTGCTTTCCCTTCTGCCGCTCCTCCTGCACTCAGACAGCGATGCTTACAGCCACCTTGGGCACCTTGGGGCGTGCAGCAAGCTCCCTCCCGGTCCAGGGCAGGCTCCCAGCACCTCTGGCACCTCCATGGGTCATCCGTTCCTTGGCTGTCCTCAGCAGAGCAGCACGGCTGCTGCCTGTGCCCCGAGTTCAGCCGGACTGTTTGCTCCTGTCTCTTCCCCCTGAGAGGTGTTGATCTCTAGGGAAACAGCTTAAGAAAACGACACCGTTCTCCCTCTGACCTCTCTTTAGGTCTCCTCTCTGAGGTGTTTTATGTCTGTTCCAAGTTTGTTGGTTGTGATGGTGTTTGGTGCTTTGGGCAAAAGGCTGCTCTGCCCCCTGCCCGCTCCGCAGCGGCTGCAGGGGCTGGGACTGGATAATGGCAGCCCCGGGGCTTTGAGAATGAGGTGCCATGGACTTGGGAGCTGCCTGAGACCGGCTGGGGGAAATGCTGAGTAACTGGGCCGTGGGAGGGCAGCTGGCGCGCCGAGGCTTTCGGCAGGGTCCCCTGGGATGGAGTGCACGCCTCCCTGAAGCCAAGAGAGCTGCCTTGGCTGGATTGTGTTTTCTTTACATACAAACGGAAAGGGTGCACTTGGATAGATTTCTGTGCAAATAAGTTTTGTGATATGTGGGCTCATTTTGTGGTGGCCAGACCGCAGCTCTTGGACAGCTCTGCCCCGCGGTCGCTGTTGTGAGCAGTGGCTCTGGGGCACCCAGGAGCTTCTCTCTGCGGTGGAGCAGAGCCGTGACCCTCCTTGGCACAGCATTCGGGGCCGGCTGAGCTCTGCTCTGCTCCTTTCCTGCTGCGCTTCGGCGGTTGCAGGGGAAAGAAAACCCGGAGAGTCGCTCGGAAAACGGGGTGTGCCAGCGGGTGGGGCTGCGCTGGCTCTTGGGGGCTGCGCCAGCTTTGCGGTTTGGGCTGGGGGAACAGGACATGGCCTTTTCTTTAGATATCACTCCAGGGTCTGCATGTGAGAGCTGCGGGGGGAGCTCCCAAGGGGCTCGGTGCGCTTCTCCCCGGGTCCCTGGGGAAGACGCTGCCTGGAAAGCTCTGTGAGCTGCCGGGAGAGCCTTTCCCTGGGTGTTAACTGGAAAAGAAGGGGATCTGCCACAGCCCTGCACCTGCACCTGCATCTTCTCACGGTCCCGGCCGACCCACCCTTCCTGTGGGGCTGCGTGTGAGGTGCCTGGGCACACCCAGCCGCCTCCTGCTGTGGCTGCACTCGCTATTTCCAGCCTCTGCTGGGCTGGAAATTGCTATTTTTTTTCTCTCCGCCAGCTGCATCTGCTGCCAGCGAGGTCCCGGAGCGGTGCGTCCGTCTTGGGGGGCAAATGCGGTGCCCCCAGTGTAGCTGTAGGGATGCACGTGGTGTGCAAAGCCATCGTGAGTGCTGCCCCCGGAGCCGGTGCTGCCCAGGGCCGGGGAGCCCCAGGGCTGTGGGGTGTGGGGAGTTTCACTTTGCGGCCTTTGGAGCAGGGCAGGGCAGACAAACGGCTCTCACAGTAACACTGCAACTGCGGTTTCCCAAACATGGCAGTTTATTTCCGGTGTGGTTTTGTTGTTGTTGTTGTTTCTTTTTCTCCACTTCTTACTCTAAGAGGCCAAATAACAACAACTGTTTTTTCTTCCCGTGGTTCCGGATGGAGCCACTCGTGCAGATCCCACTCCGGGACAGGTCCCACGGGAGCTGCCCCAGCCACCCACTGTCCCTGAACTGCTTTGCTGCTGAGCTTGGAAACCACTCTGCTCCCCAGTGTGCTCTGAAGTTCAGCATGATTTAATGATCAACGAGGTCTGGGTAGGCTTGTAAGGTATTAAGTCACAATAGCAGGTGCCCTAGATCTATTTTTAGGGGCAGCAGTGTGCTGGTTCTCCAGAGCAGAGCACAGAAGCTGATGTTTGGGGAAATGCCTGGAACAGAGCTCCTGTGGCCATGGGGTTTTATGAGCGTGAGGTTGCTGCAAGAGAGGGACCCTGGGAAAGGTAATGGTACCTGTGCCTCGGTGTCTGCCAGGCTCAGCCTGGTGTGGAGTGCCGGGGACCTGTGGGGACCTGGCCCCTGTGCCACCCACAGGTGCAGCCCCTCCTGGCTGTGGAGCCCAGCCTGGGGGTGGAGAAGGTAAAGCTGCAGGTGGGGGGGG